CTGAGAACGGCCATGGCGAAGACAGAGTATGCAGCGTTGATGGCGGCAAGTGGCTCGGACTGGACACCGATACCGCCAAGATGGCATCAAGGGCGATTAGGTGTGGCTTGCTTGACCAGGGAAAGAGAAGACGTCCCTCAAAGCCCCATTAACGTAAAAGAAGTCGATCCCTACGTTTTTAAATTACCATAAGCTTTTAGCTACTCAACTATACTATAATAAAGGCTAAGAGGCGAAGCCTTGACTGAAAGAGTACTCATATTATGGGGAGCTTACCCTTCCCTTTCAACATCTGGCTTATATACAGGTCAACATCGACTTAAGAAGCACGAATACATATAGTTGCTACCTCGGGAGCGGGATGAGAGTAGTGTGATTTAGTTCATAGAGGTTAGCTGCCTATTGCAGGATAGATGTAATTTAGAAGGAACACAAGCAAGCTGCTACAGAATGTGAACAAAGTCAAGAAGATGGAATCAACTCAATAGAATTAGGTATTTTATATGACTTCCGAAGTGACCGAACAAAGTTAAGGATTGATTCAATACCGAATTCCAGATCCCTGACTAATGGTAGGGGGCCCCGCCCATTGTGAACTACGTTCATTGCTCGGGCAAGGGATATACGAATATACCGACTGAACGAAGTGAATACCTTATTCAATGATTTTCCTAGAACCATCAGATCGGCTGAGATGCCGATAGCACCTACTGAGATCAGAGTAGTTGGCCTAGAAGGCCCCTTGCTTGGTCCAGGATTCGAACCTATATTTCCTGAGCCTAGTGAGATAACCTCTTACTCTACCTCATGCCAGAGCTCCACCTTATCTCGGTTCGATATCGCTAAATGAGAGTCCGATATCGTATCGGATAGTTCCTCCGGAGCAGACTTAGCAGACTAACCTGGGATAATAGCCCTCTCCGTAATAAGGCTGAATCTTCACTCGTGTTCACATACGTAATTCCTTGAGTGGAATGCCCCCCAACCTTGGCAAGCCATACCTCTACCAAAGCGGACATCGGTCGGTACTCAGAGTCTATTTTATACTTGTTAGCTCGGTTCGGTATTGTCTAATGAGCGTTCGATATCGTATCGCTTTATCTCGGAATTCCTTAGATAGATCGTTCTATCTATGCCTTTACCCTGGTTTTCCACATTCGAACCTACTAACAGCAACTTTCAGCAGTTGAAACGTAATGTGTTTTCGCATTTTTTTAGTGAAATCCCACTCTATATCGGATGATAGAGGCAATCCACTCAATATCTCGGCCTATGCTCCTGTAAGGCCGATGCCGAATATAGGGTAGAAAGAAGGGGGGGATTTTTTCTCTATAGATTCTTCATAGAATACTAAGTTAAGTTCATTAATTAACACGTAAGATTTCGCCCGTTTTGGATCTATTGTTTTGCATTTGATGGAATAGGCTAACTCAGAATCAAAGGAAGCTGGCTTGTCCCACGAGAATAGGATACTCTGCTGTAACCTGGCTTGCTTGGAGAAGGTTTGCAACAAAGGTTCGATGTAATTGAGCTTTGGCCCGAGAGGAGTGAGAAGGATTCCTCATTAAGTGCCTTAAGCTTGCTCTTTAGGTTCTTCAACTTTGAGCTAAGTCGGCCTCGTTCCCACTTCTCCTTGGTTCCAAGTATCTTGGACACATGGCAAAAAATTCTCATGCTCCGTCCACATATTAAAGAAAGGCCAAGGGGTCCCACTAGTGCTCCTAGCCTCAAAGATAGTCACGATACAAGGGGAGTGATCGGACCGGGGCTAGAAAATTTGCATGCGAAAAGAAGTCGGCATTCTCCCAATTTGAATCCACCATAGCTCTATCAAGCTTAGACCAAACATGATTGTTGGTCCAAGTGTGAAAGAAAGCACTCGAAGGTATATCCGACAGCCCCAAGGTAACACATACATCAATAAGATCCATTGTGTCCCGACTAGTGACTCTCTCCCCGTTAATTCTCTCCTCCGGCTTGAGGATAGCATTAAAGTCCCCAAGAAGCAACCAAGGTAGAGTAATCCTCCCATGAGAGGCTTTGAGCGAATGCCATAGCAATTTCCGATCCCCTCCCGAATAGAGTCCATAAATAAAGCTAGCAACAAAGGAGTGGTTACTAATCTTACAATGGACCGTAGCAAAAATGACTTGTGGCAAGATATCTCCTATCTTCTAGTTGGTCGACTCTCGTAGGGTTCCAAAGAATGGCGATGCGCCCACGATCGTTTACCTCGAAGTTGTCACAAAAAGACCAACCCGGCAACCTTCTATTCACAAAGAGGGAAAGACGCCTATTGTCGGTTTTCGTTTCCAAGAGTCCCAAAACATATATATTATTCTTCCGGATGAGGTTAGCAACCTCATCTTGCTTTAGGTTTAGGCTTGTCCATTCCAAGAGGCGATAATCATTGTGAAGAGGAAGGGTTGCCCCCCTTCTTCAAATGAGTTCCCTTGCCCGGCTCTTTCCTCACATTCGGTTTGTCTCTAGGCTTTGTTGGTTGTCCCAAATGTGAGCTAGTATGGCTCACGGAGCTACTCCGTTTGTCTCTCTTGCTATGCTTCCCAACCACTTGGAAAGAAGCGTCGTCGTCTTCCGGAAGTGAGGACTCCGGATTTTGAGTGTCCTTGTCCCCGGGGGGGGTGGAAGATGAGCCGGTGTCCGAGGGGCTAACGGTCACCAAAGGAGCCCCTTTCATAGCTTCACAATTCCCTTTTTCCTTTGTTACCTCTTTGACTGAAAAAAGCTTCTAAATTACATGGGTCTCACTTTGCTCTCCTTCCCTCGGTTATTGGCATGAGTGGCCGTGTTGCGATAGCCCGGGCTGAGTTGATGGAGGTTCAGAAGCAAGCTCGGGATTCCCTGGATCCTGGCGTATTTGATCAGGAACGGCTTTTGGCCATTAAATTTCAGAAACTACTTGACAATGAAACTAAGTTTTTGAAGCAACGATCCCGCATCAAATGGTGTAATGAGGGTGATGCGAACACGGCCTTTTTCCACGCATGTATAAGCCAAAAGAAGAAGAAGAATCACATCTCCAGCCTTATGGATGCTGCGGGTAATCAGGTTTCGGATGCGAGCGGTATTAAATCGATCCTTTTGAATTACTACAAGGAACTTTTGGGATCTCATGCTACTTCTGCACCCCTTCGGCCGAGCGTGCTGGCCGCGGGCCCGAGGGTTCCGGAGGATGATTGTATAAACTTATGCGAGCCTATCTCTGATATGGAGATCCGGACAGCAATGTTCTCCATTGATTCTGACTCTTCACCAGGTCCAGATGGTTTCTCTTCGAAGTTCTTTAAATCTTCATGGCACATCGTTGGGCCTCACATCATTCAGGCGGTCAGGAATTTCTTTGAATCCGGACGGATACCTTTTGGGGTGAATGCTACTGCCATCACCCTCATTCCGAAAGTTCCATCTTCCTCTCAGGCTAGTGAGTTTCGTCCTATCTCTTGCTGTAATGTCATTTACAAGTGTATTGATAATGTACTTTGTGCTAGATTGAGACCGGTATTGGATAAGGTGGTAGGTCCTGATCAGGTCAATTACATCAAGCCTGGGAGAGATATTACACACAATATTCTGCTGGCTCAGGAAATGGTGCAAGGGTACTCCAGACGTCACTTGTCTCCCAGATGTGCTATTAAGGTAGACCTTCGGAAGGCCTATGATTCTATATCATGGGATTTTCTAGAGGAAATATTACGAGAGCGGGGTTTCCCTCTTTGCTTTTGCAGCTGTATTATGGCATGTATAACTACGACGCGGTTTTCTTTGATGGTTAATGGAGAACTCACAGGGTTCTTTGAGGGGAAGCGAGGATTACGCCAGGGGGATCCTATTGCTCCGTACCTCTTCACATTAGTGATGGAGTATTTATCCAGGGCTTTACGGATTGCATCTTTATCCTCAGAGTCTCGTTTCCACCCAACGAACGAAGCACTATACTAGAAGTATTGAAGAAGAAAGTCACGACATGCGTGTGGCCTTGACTGTCGACGGCTTGATCAATTCAATTCTCGGAAGGAGGGAAATGACACACGCTTCGGAAGCCACCGGTTAGAAGACAAAGAACGGTAATTGGTTGTGTATCAGAACAGATGAAACTCTTCTCGCTTCGTCAATTACATCGAACCTGGCCTTATGCTTGAAATTTCAGCATCCCCAATGTTCCTGACGTAGGGTCTGTTAGCGGCTTTAGAAGCAGCAATCAAACTACTGCGCTAACGCGCAACGGCTTTCGCGCGTCTTGCTCAATCCCTTGCTTGTTTGAAGGAAAAGAGTGAATCAATACAAGCCTTGAACAGGTTACGAAGCTTGGGTTTTAGCACTGAGGACTGAAGTTACGAAACAAAGCGAAGCGAAGAGAAGACTGTGATAAAACATTGCATTTCCTGGTCTGCTTCAGTCACACCAGTATTTAGCTTATTTTGTTATCCTCTGCAAGGGTTTCACTGGGTGGTGGGGTAAGCTTCGCGCAAGAGCGCTAACAACTGCTTTTGAAGTTGAATCAGTGGATTCAACAACTGAATCAAAAACAGCAACAAGGGCAGCATAAGAAAATTCAGTCACGAAAAGAAGGACTTTGATCCTCGAGTTGAGTTATTATTCTCAAAGGAATGAGCTAAATTCGATTCAAGGGCTCCGGTTCCACAAATTTATTTATACAACTAAGAGGTTCCCTGTGCAAACTCAAACCGAAATCTCGGAGTAAGTCTCAATTACATCGAACCTTTTCTTTCATCCAACTAACCGGGAAGCTCCCGATCCCTAAGCAAGCTAGCTAGTCTCTCGGACGTTTTCATTCGGTCTCCGCTGCTTCCCCGAAGATAGGGCTTCTTCCTAGCCCCACCGGGCCCCATCCCGACGAACGGTGGATTACTTTCCCCAGGTAGTTGTTCCAAATGGTCGGCTGTTATCCTCTCTTTGAACTACTTCCACGCAAGGAAAGATACTAATCGATAGTACGAAGGATCGGGCTAGTTCAATTGCAGAAAAAGAGTAAGCTTTTTAGGAGTTTTTCCTAGTTACATTGCTACTTGAAGGCAGTGGGAGAAAATTCCCTATTCCTTTTTACGTATTTACGTATAGAGAAAGGCTGAGCCTAATATGGTATGGATATCGGGTTATCATTTCTGTCTCCTTGTTTGGTTGTGAACCAATCCCAGTCCCCTTGAGGGAGGAGTTTCTATAGTGCCAGTTCTGTTACATTGCCTTCTCCCGTGTGAGCAAATTTGAACAAATCCTATAGCAAGCCAAAGCATATCGTATTTGTTTGCAGTAAAAGCTTATCCAGTTGTAGTTCTTCGCCCTGGGAGCGAGTTCGAGCTCTGTTCCATCCATTGCAGCTTCCCTTCGATTCGTAATTCCTTCTCATTGCGAGAAAGTTCCCATTCCCTTCGCCTAGACATGATTGATCTCGTACCTTCCCCCTCGCTTTCGGACTAGCCCTTTCGGATTAGCTTGTCCTCCTAGCTGCCTTTCTTTCCCCTGCCTTATGACTATAAAAAAAGAATAGCTACCTTACTTTATTAGCCATTAGCTGACGACTAGTGCTACCTTCCTGACTCCGAAAACGACTTAAGGCCTTCTCTACTCTTTTCAATGCTTAATTCAAAAAAGAAAACCTTCCCCCTTAGAAACTTCCTTGAACAGTCACCGCCCCGCCCCTGTCCTCTGTAAACAGGATCTCTTCTCTTAGGTTAAACAACCGAATCTCCTAGCTCTCGATCAAAGCCTTATCCCAATCGCCATCCGGAAAGGAAGCCATCGAAATCTCCATCTTTTTGCATAAAAGGCGATATTAATCGTTCACACTCGCAGATCAGCTTCCAGGTCTGCTTCGGGGCTATGGTCATTGATGGGATAACAATTGTACTAGCACTAACTATTCTGCTCATTTTTTTGAATCTATTGAAGTAGCCTTCGCTCGAACCTACGGTTAGTGAGAAGGGTATTAGTGGTCTCTAAACTAACCGACCTCTAAGCTGTGGGGGTTTGGGAAGTTGTCAAAGCTCCCCAATATTCAACCTAGGCTATATAAGCAAATATTTAGGGAAGGCCCGGTCCTTTTCGATCTTGTATTGAGAAGATCTGGGCAGTACTCGTAAAGCACGCTTTTCTCTCTCGGGCTAGGTTCCGAGCTCTTTTTGTATTCCTCTCCTTTTAGTCGAGATCTTTGAACCAGCAAGAAAACGGATGCGCGTTAGCGCAACGGCTTTCGCGCGTCTTGCTCAATCCCTTGCTTGTTCGGTCGATGTAATTGAGTCAGCGAAGTTTCTATGGTGTTCTACCTTTGCATAGTCTCGGTCCACAGTGTAAGGCT